AGGAGGAGGAGCAGGAGGTGCCGCTAGGAATGCGAGACCCGGGCCAGGTGGCTCCACAGAGTCACACTCCCGCCTGATTGGCCTGGACTCAGGTGGTGGCCGAGGATGAGAGGGACCAGAGGAGGGGGAGGGGACCAGAGGAGGGGGAGGGGACCAGAGGAGGGGGAGGGGAGGGGTTTCTCGTCCTGAGGGCCCCGTCCTGACCATACCACTGGGCTGGGCTCCCTCTTGCCTCTCCCCTCACTGTCCCAGCTGGGCACAGCTGCGGTGACGAGCCGGTGTTCTCTGCCAAGCCGCACACTGAATTCCAGCTCTGCCCCTCCCCAGCTGCACGTCCCCAGAGAGCCCTGGTTTTCTGGCCTGTGAAGGTGGCTCAGGACGCTGCCTGTCCACAGGGTTCAGTAGGAGAAGGACCTGGGAGGCCGAGTGCACATGGGTGACCCTTTGGGACTCCCTGTGGTTTTAAGTCAGTTATCAGTTCTGGTCCCACGTCCCCTGCTGGCCTGGGCCTGCTTTCTCTGCCTGACCACTACTCTGGTAGTGGAAGAGCAGGGCCATCGGCAGGACTGCCGTTGGCCCACCTGGAACCCCCGACTAATGATTTCCACAGGGACACCCCTCCTCCACTCTCGGGCCCTGAGCTCTCTGTGTGGCTGATCCCCTGGTCCAGAGTGGCCCAGTCAGTGTCCCTCTTCCGCACTCTGACAGATTCAGGGAGACACAGAGCCCCCGAGGTGACTTCTTGGGCCGGGGTCCTGGTCCCACCAATGGCTCGCTGAGGGATCTTGGGGTAACACTGAAATTCCCCGTGCCTCGGGTTCTCGTCTACACCGGGGTAGTGATGGTCTACACTCCATCGGGCTGTGGTGCAGACGGGATCCCGAGAGGGGCTCGGCACAGGTGAGTCCCAACGAGCATGAGCCCCCGCTCTAATGGGACTGAATTTGGGGCCTTCGGATGGGTAACTGGGGAGAGGGGGTCTTTTTTAGCTGTCCTGCTGCACCCGTGCCTTGAGTGGACGGGGTCACCTTGCGTCCTGGGGAGCCTCAGGCACGTAGGAGGTGGGGCCTTAGCTCTGTGGCGCCTCCTGCCGGCGTCTCTGGATCCTGTCATTCCTGAAGCTGAATTTCCTTTTTATTTTTTTATTTTTTGGTTCAAGTGCCTCTGAGTTGGGTTTTTGTTACTTGGAACAAAAGGAGTTTAATGGGACCCTGTTAGGGTTGGGTCTGGAATGTTCCCGAAGGGCTCCTGTGTCGAAGGCTCAGTCCCCAGGGCAGCAGTGCCGGGCAGGGGTGTGGGCGGGGGGAGCCGCTGGGAAATGATTGGGTCAGGAGGGTGTGACCTCCTCAGTGGAGTCACAGCTGATGGCGTTAGGGGACACGGGAGAAGCTGAAGAAGGGGGGCCTTCTTGGAGGAACTAGGCCTCAGGAGGCTGCCCTGGAAGCGGGGATCTTGTCCCTGGTCTGCTCGCTCACACGTGTGTGCTCGCTCACACTCTCTCTCTACACACACGCTCATCCTTCCCGGCCGCCATGAGCTGAGAACTTCCTCTGCCATGCTCCTCCGCCCGAAGTAAAGGAGCCACCGGCCAGGGCCCGAGACCTCTGAAACCATGAGCCAAAATAAGCCTTTCCTCCCTACGTTAGTTTCTCAGGTATTTGTCACAGGGATGGAAGGTGAAGCCAGCGGCCGTCCACCCACCATCCGCCCACCCAGCCGTCCACAGACCCACATCCAATCCCAGCACCCGCCCGGGTGGGGCCCCAGAGCATCACTTCCGGCTCCAAGACTCAGTCTCCGCACCTGTCCGTCACCTCCTCTGTGCAGTGGTCCCAAGGATTCAAAGGGACGAACCGCCTGGAGGGCCGTGCTGGGTGCAAGGCTCAGGCGGTCCTCCCTTCGGTCACATCTTTTCCTGAGGTGTAGCCCCCCCACCCCCGCCCCGCCTAAGGGTCCCTGGAAAGCCAGTGCCCGCCAGGCTGGCCCTCCCATGCAGATGGAGTCCGACGGGTACCACCTTTATTGTTTCTCCAGCATTTTCCAGAAGAACGGTGTCATTTGAGAGCCACAGGGGGTGGGGGAGTAAAAAATAACGTAAATAAACCCAACAGAAAATCCAGAGGGGACACAATGGCTGAGACGGGGTGTCGGGGGCAGAGGGGGAGGCCCCGGGCGGCAGCGCCTCTTAGCTTTCAGACACCAGAGTGGAGAATTCTGCAAAAGAAATGACAGAGGCCGTGAGTCGGAGGCAGAGGATGCAGAGGGACTGTCCCCGAGGGACGCAGGGCACAGCTCCGTGCTTCCTCCAGGTTCGTGGATCTGCTGCGGATGTGGCGGAATGAGAGAGAGTGGGAATTAATGAACACGGTGAGCGGGACCCGTGATCACATGACTGTCAGCTCCCATCGTGGCTCTGACTGTTCCTGAGGGTCCACTGAGTGCAGCCGTTGTCCTCAACACTCCACATCCAGCATCCCTCTTGACCCTGACCATCACCTCATCACTGATTATCACGCTCATTCTACAGATGAGGAGACCGAGGCTCTGCAGTCAGCCATCTTTCTGGACTTTTCTTCTGTTTCTCCCCCCAGGAGACGAGCGAGGATACGGTCTTGCCACCGCGTGTCACTGAGCGACTCTGGGACGCCACATCTCTGGCCTGCCTGGGAGGGTGGGGTCCTGGTCAGTCCTCGATGCCTGTGTAAATGCAGCGTGGTGATGTGGGGAGGGCCCGGGCTGGGGTCAAGGGCCAGGGCTTCCAGGCAGGCCTGGCCATTTGCTGGACAATGGGCTCCCAGGGTTCAGATCTCTCACACACCCATGGACAGAAGGGAGGGGCCGTGATGGCTTCAGAAAGGCCACAAAAAGTGCCTGGGTCCCCCTTGAGGTCAGCTGCCCTGCCAGGACTTGGTGCAGAACATGTAGATAAAACCCAGCGATGCGGCTCCGTGGGGTTGACGTGAACCGTGGTGATACAAGGTGCTAGCCTGGGGGGCTGGGAGGAGGCTGCACAAGACCCTGCATGACCCCCGAAATTCTTCGGTATTCCTAAAATTATTCCTAAGTAAAAACAAAAAACAAAAACAAAAACAAGGACAACCAGACCCACATGCCATATCCTGGCTATAGCCTGGCACTGACTCTGGCTGGCTGAGGGGACACCACACCCTCCTGTCCCTAGACTGTCCCAGGACAGGAAAGGTGGGTGACCTGGGCGTGGGGTCTGGGCAGGGATTCAAGTGGGTGGAGAGCGAGGGTCCTCCCTCTCAGAGTCCTGAAGGCTCAAGGCTCTCCCACTGAGTGGTACCTGGGAAACAGCCCCAGGACCAACGACCCCCCGCGGGGCTCTCTTCTCAGCCACAGTCCCCTGTGAGCCTTCAGGACGGGGTGGAGGAGGGCCGGGGGCTCTTCCAGGAAGTCCAGCTTTACAGTTAGTAGCTGGCATTTGTCGAGTGCCAACCTCTGCATCCTACGACTACCTCCGGGGAGACTCACCTTGGCCTGCGTTTTACAGCTGGGGAAACTGAGGCCCAAGAGTTAAGTCGCCTGACCAAGGTCACAGAGCAGATGGGATTCATGCTACAGTCGGTCTTAGCCTCCTTCTCTATGCTGGAGTTTCTGACCTACTTTGACCTAGTATAGAGTGACACATGTCCCAGATCAAATGTCACCACCCCCATGGATCTGTCACAGTAGCCCTTTTTTATTTACTTCACGGTACTTAGCACACTCTGAAATGATCTTATTTATGTACTTATTTTTGTTGGTCTCCTCTCTTTAGAAGGCAAACTCTGAGGGGCGGGGAGCCCATCTCCCTCTGGTTCAGCCTCCCAACAGCTAGAACGTCCTCACACACAGCAGGTGCTAATAAGTGAATGCTGGATGGGTGGGTGGATGGATGGATGGATGGATAGATGGATAGATGGATGAATGGATGGATGGATGGATGCGTGGATAGATGGATGGGTGGGTGGATGGGTGGATGGATGGATGGATGGATGGATGAATGAATGGGTGGATGGATGGACAGATAGATGAATGGATGGATGAATATAAGGATGGATGAATATAAGGATGGATGAATATAAGGATGGATGGATAGATGGATGGATTGATGGATAGGTGGATGGGTGCAGGGATGGATGGGATGGCTTATGAGTCCTTAAGTTTCAACAACCACTGTTTAACTGCACTGAATTCTCACAAAAGCTCCGTGAGATGATTCCCATTTTACAGATGGGGAAATGGGGCTGGAGAGGGGAGGTGTCAGAGTTATGCGGAGAATAAGACACAGAGCTGCAGTCTGTCTTCTGGCCTCAGGAGCTGAGTGTGAGGGCTGCTCCTGGCTGGGCTGGTGGCCCGTGGAAGCAAGAGTCCTCTCCAGCTTCATGGGCCTTCCCTGTCCCAGGCCACTGAGATGCTCTGCCTTGAGGTACAGGAGGCGCGAACCTGTCACCAACACTGCTCCTGGAGACCGTCGAGAGGGGAGGCTGGGTCTGACTCTTCATGCTGGAAATTGGGGGCTCCCTGGCTCCTCCTCAGCAGCACACTGTCTCCACCCCCACACTAGAGGGGACCTGGTGCGGTTGGTGTGGGAGGACCCAGGGTGTCAATGAGGGTCTCCTGGGATAAAAGCTGGGCATTTGGAGCCTCACTTTGGGAAATATTCGGAATATTTTGTAGCTTTTAAAAGCCTCTTAATCGGCCCTTTGCCCACCCTGATGCAGCCAGGAGGTCACGACGGCCACGTCTGGCTGGACGTGCAGGAAACACTGGATTCTAATTTTATCCCCACAGAACCTTGAACAGGGCACTTGCAGACACATTGAGGGCAGGAGCCACCTCTTTGGTACGTTCCTGTCTGCCCGGGGGCAGAGCCCTTAGCACCCGGCCAGTCAGCCCCAGCCTTCCTAGCACCCCCCAACCCTCCAAAAAAAAAAAAAAAGCCCAGTTCTCAAATGAGCAAGTGCACAAAGACTATGGGAAGCCCAGGCCAGCAGAGCCGGCAGCTGCACTCTGGGATGGGATGGCATGCTGCAGGACGGGTTCCAGTGTGGGTCCGCCATCTGCTAGTCCCTGGACGAGGTGCCTCGCCCTTCCCGGTCGGGTTCTCTCATCTCACACGTGATCTTCTACTCTTACTGGGTTGGGGTAAGTGGGCTGGGGTCCACTCCCAGCTCCTGTTTGTTGCTCTGTGACCTTTGACTAGGTCACACATTGTGCCTCGGTTTCCTCGTCTGTACCATGGTGCTCATGGGAATTCCTACTTCCTGGGGCTGCTCCCAGGATCTAGCTAGAGCTCCTAGTCAGGGCCAGGGCACAGCACACACCTGTGGCCACTGTGATCAGGATTCTCTGTACCTCAAGCCACTTTGACACCAAGCCGTTGCAGAGAGGAGACCTCAAGCCTTTGTCAGCATGGCTGTCGCTCTTGCCGCTATTGGAATCCACCATCCCTCTCATTCCCCATCTCCGTTCCTCATCCCCATCTCTGAAGCTGTCTTGTCCATCACCGCCTGGCTGGGTGGCCATGGGTCACCACTTTACCCCTCTGAGCCTCAGTATTCTCATCTGTAAGGAGGGTACAGGCTACTTACACAGCTATCAGGGAAAACAGATGATAAAATACAGAAAGATGCCTGGCACACAGTAGGCGGCTTATATGTGCTAACTCCACCCCCCTTGGATCCCCTCAGCACAATCCACATGGGTTGGAACTCTGAAATGACAACCACCACAAAGCCCCTGAATCTAAGGAGGACAAGGAGGACCTAAACAGAGGACCCGAGGACTGTACAGCAGCCAGCTGCCCTGAACAAGTTTCCACAGGATCAATTCCATGTGAGTTAGATTACCGCCTCCAGCACACCCCTCTGTGGATGGTCAGCCTCTGGCCCTCAGTTTCCTCATCTGTACAATGGGGATCCTGAGACCCTCTCCTCACAGGTGATGTGAGGACCACAGGAAATGATGGAGGCGTCCGGCCAGGTGGGGCAGGCACAGTGTGACTGCCATTAAGTCAATGCTGATTGCTGAGGTATGAGGGAAATGAGCCCTCGGAGGGATCCAGATGCTCTTCCCCTTGTAGGACGCGCAAGCACAGCCCTACCTTTGCAGCCTGAGGCTGCCCCCAGCATCCTCTAGGGCTGGCTTGCTGAGGTCTGCCTCGCCCAATCAGAGAGAGGCAGAGAAGGCAGGGATGGGTGGGAGGGAGGCAGCGGACGGAGGTTGGGCAGATTCTGTTCTTTACTCTCCCTTAGGAAACTGCAATTAGCCTAATTAGGTCTGCCCCAGTCCTGGGTGCTGCGGACACTGGACAAATTTAGAAGCTATTGACAGGTGGGAGCGGCATATGCTGATAGCCCCAAGTGAAACTGAGACTCATTGAGTCAGCGTCTGGAAGGCTGTTTCCCTCCCTCTGTCGTGATGACCAGGATGAAGGGACCAGCCTCCTGGTTTATCACCTCGCCTCTAAATAGCTCCCCGGCTCGGTTTCTTATACATTGGTATTGCAAACAGAGATCACTTTCCCACGCTGCAGAACTGGGAGGCAGGGTCATTTGGGGTCAAGCCAGACAGCCATAGGGAGGCATCATAAACTGTTCTGGGGGTGCCCTTGGTGCCAGGGGCTGCCCCATGTGCGAGCCCAGTTCATCCTCTCGGGCCCCGTTACCCCCATTCTACTTACAGGGAAACTGAGGCTGAGCCACCCAGCCAGGAGGCTTCTAGCTGCGGCGTGGCTCGTGCCCGGCTGCATCTCTTTCTCAAGAGTCTGACGGCCCTGCGTCCCCACTGCAGCCCTCAGACAGAAGGAGCGGGATGAATGGGGCGGGACCATCTTCTCGCCCTGACGGCCGCTCCATTTTCCAGGAGGCCAGTTACATAAGCAGCCTCCTCCTCTCCCTGCTCCTGCTCCGTCTTATCTAGTTCAGCATAAGGCCCCAGCCAGTGCGAGTGCACCCGGGAATAGGAGAGCAGATTGCTAAGCGCCGGAGCCATTTATAACTCCAAAGTCTCAGCTCAGCTTGGGCCAGGAGGGAGGCGGAGTCAGGAGACCCAGGTCCCATTCGGTCAAGGATTTTGCCGGGTGACTTTGGCACTCTATGTCCACCGGGCCTCAGTTTTCACATCTCTCAGTCTCTGTCCCCTAGACCTCCTGGGGCTGCTGGGATGGCAGGAGGAGATGCCACCAAATGCTGGCCGCCCCCGGGGCCCTGCCAGTGTGTACATCCTGCCCTGCTTGGGGATCCAATCCCGAAAGGGGCTGACAGGCTGGAAGCACTGGGAGGCAGGGGACTGTCCTTCCAGGATTCTTGCTTCCCTCCCATCTTAGACATGAGACTCCACTTCATTTCTGTTGAGGGCCGGGACTCCCCAGCTTCTAAAAAGTTTTTGAGGTGACTTTCAAAAAAGCATTCGTCTAATTCAGAGGAAAGGAATCATTTCCAGAACATTCACCTAACTGCACCAAGCCGAGGCAAGAGGTATTTTTATCCCCACTTTGCAGATGACGGAGAAGATGCCCCTGGGAGGAAACACTGGGGACACTCCCGGGGCTGGTCCCCACAGTCTGGCAGTCAACTCCCTCACCCCCAAGCCCCAGGTGAAATAGGTTACTTAAGGATAAGAGAAAACAGATTTTGACCCAAGGAAGCAGGAGAGGCAAAAGCCCTCAGGCACGGGAGGCCCGTGGTCAGTCCGTCCTGGTCAGGAAATAATTAGGATTCAATGTTTTTAGCACTGAAGTAAAATGCTCTTGAATTGGAATAGGGCTAAAGCACAGGAAAGCGGATCCAGTTCTAGGGTTGGGTCCCAGTGAAAATGCCCTTGGATTGCGCATGTGCATGTGGGTGTGGGGTGTGCGGACCTTCCTACAGCATTGGGGGAAGAGCTCGTTTGCAGCTGGAGAACGAAAGGGGTCTCACGCTTCAGGGCAAGTTGCTCTGCGTCTCTGGGCCTCAGTTTCCTTGTTTGTGCAGGTAATAAAGAGCTTGGGGAGCTACGTGAGGGTTGAAGGAGGAAAAAGACCTGAGAGCAGTCCCACCAGGAGTGGGACTGGGTGCTAACCTCAATGTCTGTGGGTCTGTCTGTTCCTGTGGAGGCTTCCAGTTCAGAGAGTCAGGCTGGGGACAAATGCCCGGGGAGGCAGGGTCACAGTGGGTCCTAGAGGGACACAGTCCTGACTCTGCTACTGGGTAACCCCGAGCACCTCACGTGGCCTCTTTGTGCCTCTGTTTCCTCACCTGTAAAATGGGGACAGTGGACACTCCTGGCCCTTCCTTCCTAGGATTGACCTCAGGCGGTGGCTCTCAGAGTGCAGCTCCCGGACTGTCTACACCACATGGCTACTTGTTCCAGATGCAAATGCTCAGGCCCACCCAAGCCGTGGGAGAGGCCATCCATGCTGGGAAGGGCCCCGGGGGGGGGGGGGGCTGAGGCCACTGCAGGTGGAGATCCACTAGTCCAGGGGGCGCCTGAGGAAGCGCCTGTCTGCCCCTTCCACCTCTCTCCAGCTTCTCTCTCCTTTTCTAACCCCTCACTGTCTAGCCCGGCACCAGCCTTTCAGGGTGGCTGTTGAAACTCAATCGATCACATCTAGAAAAGTCTTTGAGCTTCCTGGAAATAGTCACCCCGGGGACGAGAATGGAAAGGCGTATTATTAGGACTTTGTCCTCCTCCCCTTCCCTGCAGCCTGGGAGCTTGAAGAACATGGTAAACTGCGCTCCCCTTCCTAGGACACACAGAGCTGGGGACAGCGGCAGTCCTGAGCCCCTCAGCACCTGCAGCAAGCAAGCCCCAGCGTGCTGCCTAGCTCTCCAGCTCGGGCCTGCAGAGAGCCCCTGCCATCATACCCCGGGCTGGCCCTGGCTCCTTCACTCATCCACCCCTCCGTCCATCTGTCTGTCCGGTAGACTTTTCTCATCCTCCCATTATGTGCCAGGCCCTATTCTTTGTGCTGGGATCAGAACTGAAGAAAACCATGTCCCTGCTTTGCAGAGCCCACGCGGTGACGAGCAGCAAGTCAATACAGCTGTCATCCGATGGGCGGGGCTCGCCTAACCTGAGTGAGAGAAGGAGGTGGCCGTGGGGCACGTGCCCTGGGGCCCTACGACCTGTGCCCGGGTCTGCCTCCTTCCTCTCCGGGCCCATGGGAGTTCAGGCAAAGCCTGGCCTCTCTGAGCCTCCGTGTCTATAAAGTGGGAATTGTCACAGTGTCCACCCCAGGGATAGCCCGGAAGATAAATGCGTGAAGGACTGTGCACGCCTGAAGTGCTCCATGAGGCTCGATGTCACCGCTGTTGTCACTAAATCACTCAGCTGGTCTAAGTCCCACTCATGGTCGTTTGTGCAGAGGATTATACTGTGGAATCCCAGGGCTGGAAGGGACCCCAGGGATTGGCTAGTGGCCTGACGCTGGTTTTAAAGACCAGGCCCCCTGAAAGCCAGGGATCTCTGTGACTTGCCCGGGTCCCAGGATAGGAGAGAGCATCCCACCCTGGTAGGTGGGCTCCGACCCTCTGGGCCTTAGGGGAAGCCGCAGGGTGCCAGCCATGACGGCTCCTGGGCCCCGCAGAGGGCTCTGCCTCCCCTCCCACGCCTGCGCACTGTCGGGGGGCCTGTCGTCAAGGCCTGTGCCAGCCCCTGCTGTTCTGGTCCCCCCAGACCCCCGGCTCCTGATTAGAGCTCCGTCAGCCTCGGCTTGGCCCAAGCCCTCCGTAGACCGTGTTGGATCCTGGCCAAGTGGCCTTGGATTCCCTGACTGCTCTTTCTGTGTCTGCACCTATGTCCTCCTGGGTAAAAGAGGTGACACTGTACGGAGACCAGCACTGGCCTGGGCACACATTACATGCCCAGCTAACTACTGTCATCTCTCCCAGCGAACCCATCTCCTCACCACTGGTCTCACCACCTTGCTGATACCTCCACTGCTGGGGCCTCCTAGCCCAGTGCCCCCCACGCTGCCTACACCTCTCTGCTCTGCCTCGTACAGGTTGAGCATCTGAAATCCAAAACTTTTTGAATACCAACATGAGACTATGCACATATTCCGAAGTCTGAAAAACTCTAAAGTTTGATGCACTTTTGATCCTAAGCCTTTTAGATAAGGGACACTCACCCTGTAGTGCCATTTGTTTCCAGAACCGTGAGCAATGTGCAGATGAAGTGAATATAGTATCTTAGCTGGGCATGGTGGCACGCAACTGTCCTCAGAGCAACTTGGGAGGCCAAGGCTGGAGGATTGCAAGTTCAAGGCCAGCCTCACCAATTTAGTGAGGCCCTAAGTGACTTAGCAAGACCCTGTCTCATAATTAAAAAAATTAAAAGGGCTGGGGATGTGGCTCAGAGGTAGAGCACCCCTGGGTCCAATCCCTAGTGCCAAAAAAAAAAAAGCATCCTGTCTGCTGTTTATTGAGCACTTACTAAACACTGCACTAGGCACTCTTTGGTATCCTGGGCAGTTTACAGTTGAGGAATTTGGGACTCAGGGTTACGGAACCACTGCTCAGGGGCTCCCAGCCAGGAAATGGTGCCACTCTAAGTTGGGTCTAATTCATCTTCCCCTCCCTGCTGGACACCAAGTTGCTGCTCAGACAATGTCTATTGGAAGAGTTCAGTTGGCTCTTTAAGACCTGAGTATGGCGGGAGGGAGAGGGAGGCAGGGAACCAGGCGAGGGCCTGCCCTGGTTTCTCTTCACCGTTCAGGTTGCCTGGGAGCAGCCAGCCGTGAAGACCTGGGCTGGGCTTCCTGGCGGCAGATTAAAACGGAAGGTGGAGGTGGGCTGGAGGCTGGGGCTGAGCTCAAGGTGGAGCCAGGGCTGGGGGTGGAGCTGGGGCAGAGAGCAGCTGTCACTCACCCGAGCCACCCAGAGCAGCTCAGCGCCCACCGCCTCCCAGGACCCTCCACTCAGGTCCCTTGAAAAGCACCTCCCTCCTTCAGCTGCAAGCAGGGAAGCTGAAGGCAGGTGGCCAGGGCACTCCCTGCGTCTGACCTTGGTCGGGAGTCTCCATTCTCGTTTCTAGCCAAAATAAACGTTAATAAACTGAGACCCAGTTTCAGAATTCTTGTACCTTTCTCAAAGCGATTTTGGGTCTGCAGCCACTGAATTTCTGACAAGCCCAAGCAGGTCAGAGATAAGTGGCCCACCCTGTGGCTGGCAAGGCAGGCCAGGTGGACTCGGTGACACCCCAGAGATTCGCCGGGGAAGGCAGAGAGGAAGCAGCACGGGGGCCTGGAATTCACACTCGAGCAACAGGTATTCATGCAGCACCTGCTCTGGGACAGGTGTGGGCCACACCCCGAGGCACAAGGGCGAAGGCAATCTAGTCCCAATTTCATCTTAGTTTCCCAACGCGCGCGCGGCACCTGCTCTGCGCCTGGCCCCGTCTAGGCCCTTTGCATAGTATCACACCTGGGCCTCAGGACAGCTCTAAGACCCTCATCCTCCGCAGCTCAAAGATGAGGAAGGTGAAGCCCAGAGCAGTTACGGGACTTCCCCAAGCTCAGGTGGCTGGGAGTGGAACTCAGAGGCACCGACACCCAGTTTTCTCTTAGACCGTCAGAAAGGCCTGTCATGGAGGGGGTGGCAGTGGGGACATTCAGGTCAGGTTCTGAATCCCTGCTCCATCTCTAGGTCCTGGCTCTTTGAATTGGACCAAGCCCTTCAACATCTGTTTAGCCATCTGTAAAACGTGATGCTGGAATGTGTCCCCAGGAATAGTAGGTCCAGCTGAGTGGGCAAGGGTGTGGGACGGGTGGCCCGCTGGCCCCTTGCCTCTGCCAACAGCTAACTTTGAGAACCATTCTTGCTTGTTGGGGCTGGTTCCTGGCTGGCTGTCTTTCCTGGCTGTCCTGTCATACCAGAAGAGTATATTTGAGTCAAGTTAAAAGCTGTCTTGAGGCTCAAGGTTACAGGACACCAGGGTCAGATGCTGCAGAGGATAGGAAACCAGGATTTTCCATCCCTGGGATCTGAGACTAATGGGAGCCTGAGGGTCCTTGGGGATCAGCTGGCCTCATCTCCTTAGATTACCTACAGGAGCCTCAGGCTCAGAGAAGGAGAGAGACTGCCCAAGGTCACACAGCCAGTGCAGGACCCGACTCTGGGCAAAGTAGTGGAAAAATCCTAAATTCTCCTGGATTCCCACCCAGCATGCGTGAGACTCACTGGGCTTGACTTTGGAACTCCATAGCAGCTTTTCTCTGCCTGGCTAGACCTAACGGGAGCCCTTGCCCCCAGGCTCCCCTTCCTGGTGACAGACACGGCTCTGAACTTCCAGCATCCACACATCCCAGAATCCACAATGTGCTACCCACCGTCAGCCCCAATTTTGCCGTCCCCGTCCTTGTCTCCAGCGGCCAGGAGTGTCTTGGTCTCCTTCACAGACAGGTCCCTGGCATCTGCGGAGAAGCCTTTTAGGATGAATCTGGAGGAGGAAAGGGAGACAGATGAGGAGGGAGTCAGGTCAAGGTCACCCAGGAGGGACATCGTATGGATGGTATCCTGGGCAGTTTACAGTTGAGGCATTTGGGACTCAGGGTTACGGAACCACTGCTCAGGGGCTCCCGGCCAGGAAATGGTGCTGTGTCCGTGAGGGGAAAGCGCAGCGGGGACAGGCAGCGCGCAGAGAGCGTGTGTGCAGCTGGGCCTTGGTGAGCAAGTGGGCTGGGGGACAGGCTGGCCTACTTGCGGGGGGGGGGACCTGCATTTCTTTATTTATTCAATAAACAACTACTAAATGACTTCTCTGGCGAGCTAGGCTGGAAGCTGGTCACACTGTGGTGGTCTCAGGAAGCCACCTGAATCAATGGGAAGGAGGTCACATACTCCAGGAGGGACATGTGGTGGGATGGGTACACTGTGGGGAGGCTTCCTGGAGAAGGTGGTGCCTGGAGGGCAGGGAGAGGCTAGTGCCCGGTGTGGGTGGGCAGGAGACGGTCCCAGGCACAGGCAACCCTTGTGGGACGGTTTGGGGGAGACAAGATAGGTGGGGGGAGTTCTCCTTAAGTAGGAACCCTCTCTCCTCCCTCTTTTTGCTCTTTTGGATGAAATCCAAGGCAGTCCTGGACAGAGTGACATCCTAAGGCACAGCTGGCAGAAGACATGGGCCAGGTGGCTGGGGCGGGAGGATGGGAGGGCTCTTCCCAGATGCAGTTTTGCAAAACTTCTTAGTCAGTGCCTTTTCCTGGTTGCTTGGCTCCAAGGACCCCTGAATCCCCAAGGCTGGCTCTGGGCCCCTGGCTTGCCCAGAAGTTGCTGTAGACACCCTGGTCCAAAAGGGGTGGGGTCTGCACAGACAGAAGGTGCCTTTTCGACTGGGAATCAGGGCAGCACTTACAGGAACCAAGCCCCCGGCTGTGCCTACGGTGCCAGCGAGCAGGAAAACCACCTCTTGGTTTGTATTGAATTATTAAGAAGCATCATTCCATTAGCAGTATTAAGTGGCTATAATTTAACCTTGTTAGTTGCACTTTGAGCTGAGGGGTTGATTCTTCCGGAAGCGACGGTGCCGTGAGCATCTTCTCCCTGTACCCTGGGCCTGAGCCCTTGCTTTCTGTGAAGGGTGCCAGGGAAACGGCAGCCCTGGTGGGGACTGGGAAGGGGGGGTTCCAGCCACCACCCTCCCTTCCTCCCTGGGCCTCCGGCCGGAAGTCCCCTCAGGCCTCAGTTTACCCCAGCTCATCCTCCTCGATGAAGCCGCTCTTGTCCTTATCCAGGATGTGGAACACCTTCTTCACGTCGTCCGCACTCTTTTTCTTGAGGCCGACCATTTGGAAGAACTTTTTGTGGTCAAAGGAGTCGACAGCTGGTGGGAGGAGCGGGTGAAAATGAGGACAAGAGGAGGCCCAGGAAGGCCGGGGAGGGGTGTCCTGGTGTTCGGGTGACTCCACTGCCAGGCGTGAGCAGGGAGGACAGTCCTGTGGGAGGACTGGGAAAGGTGCTTGTCCAAGGTCACGCCTCTCAAGCCTGCCCAGCCCCCTCACCGGTACCTTTTGCAAATAGGG